CGCTAATGTCTCAAGCGGAACCGGCCTGAGCACCTCGTGCCCCCTCCCCCTTCGCTTCACACTCCCAACGCTTGCTCGGAACTGCGGGGACTTCTCATACGAAACTGGCTGGACCCCCTCGCACGCGGCATCTCTTTGCCCATAATTGTGTGGACGTCCCAGGCGACACAGACAAAATCACTTCGCGAGCGGCACCCTGAAGCCTACTTAGCGCAGCAATGACGTCTCAAGCGAAAAGGACAAAACAGCCTCAAGTTACGGTATCTCCGAGCCCAAAAGTTTTGAGGATGTTTCAGGCGATATGGGCCAGACCACCTCTCGCGTAGCGTCTGGGAGCCCAGGTTAGCGAGGATGTCTCAAGCGAAACGGGCCTGACCATGTCAAATCTGGTCGTCTCGGAACGCTGACTTGTGAAGATGTCTCATGCGGAACGGACCGAACCACCTCAACATGTTGTCAATGTCTCGACGCACGGGCCCATCGGGCGGCATTCGCTGTTACCGCCACGATGCCCCCCGGCTCCGGCCGGGCGACCCGGGAACACTCCAAGACAAACTTATAAAACGGAAACAAACGAGAAGTTCCCATATGCATAGTGAGATCGATTGTGAGATCGATCGTGGAACCGATAGTGAGGATGATCAATCGTGAGATTGATAGTGAAATCGATTCAATGATATCGATAATTAATGAGTTCGACCGTGAGATCGCTCGTGCGATCTATAGTGAGATCGATTGTGAGATCGATAGTGAGATCGATAGAGAGGGGGGTAATGAGATCGATGGCAAGACCGATCGATAAGAATATCGACCAAGAAAACGTGAACCCGCAGGTTCACGTTTGCGGAGGGCGGCGGGGTTCCCGCGGGAAACCCCGCCGCCCTCCGAAATCGGCCCGGAACCCGGAACGGGGAGAACCCGGGAACCCGGAACCGGAAACCGGGGAGATCGGCCGCCCACCGAAATCGGCCCAGAACTTTCGCCAAATCCTTCAATATCCATTATAGGACCCCTTCAGTGCAAAGCACTGATTGGGAAATAACAGAAATACTCCTAACCCTTCCAGAGGGGACTACAGTTAGGACGGCCAGGAACATGAAAAGGGTTTTTCTCTGCAGATGTATAAGATCAAACCTAATGCAAAGACGGGGACCTCAGTAAAGCCACGTCTTCAGTATGCTATCAGGGTTCGGGGTTCTCTCATTCTCGATGGCGCACCTCACTCACCTGGCAGAAGGACCAGGAGTGCGACAGTAGCTGCCAACGCTCCCTCGCGCTCTACGCAGGAGAACCTCCCTCGTCTCCAGGATGGCAAGGACCCTCGTGGAAACACACAGGCACAGAGCCGAATGAGAGGGCCCCTGCTGGGACCTCACCTCCTCCGCCGGGGGGGTATCGGTCGAGATCCCAATTCACCCCCATCATATTATTGTTATTTCCCGCCTCCGCCACTCGTCCACCTGGGCGACAAAGGAGGGTCAGTACATTTGCAAATGGCCCCCTCGCCGAAAAACCAACGCCTATGTAACACCCTGTGATCTTTGCGCAGATGTCGACAGCGGCTTCCCTGCCCTCGATAAGGACGTCAGGCACGACAGAGACTGCCGTCCTCATGTTGGTACCTGGTCGATGGCCCCTATGATCGGCATGCGGGCTACGCAGCCGCATGTTGCTATGACGCGGCAAAACCAGCCCAGGCAGGGCACGCTAATGCAACCTGAGCTAAAGATGGAAAATGGCGTGCCCACGCCCGTGCAGGCATATTTAATCGCAAGGTCTGGAGACCACATGACCGATCAGAAAACTTGCAATCTCTGCCTGCAGGGCCTGCGATTACCATGAACATCCTGACCTCCTCCCGCTTCTCCAAACATGCTGGATCTCGGCATCCTGATCCATGAATCCAGGCCCCTGGTCGCTGTGCGCTGCCTACCATTTTGGGACATCAACGGCTCTCCCCTGCTCCGAGCCGCGGACTGCAAAGAATGCCCCCGACTGTCACTCCTTCTCAAATACCGCCTAATATTGACTGGGTACCCTACCACTCGCCACTAGCCCTGACCAACTCTGGCCTGATTCGCTGATCTACTGTCGTCCGTGGACACTTCGTCGACCGCCGCTAACACTGACTGGCCCAAACCATCCCCGATGCCACGCTGTTTGGCGCTGGCGAGATTTCGGCCCCGAAGTCGCCAGAGGTCTGTGGAAGCTACAATGTCCCCAGATATCTCAGTTGGCCTCTGGAGGGGTAGGAGACGCAGGATAGGAGAGAGAGGAGGTACGGTTGAAGGAAAGCACGTTGCATCAATAACACTCTGACGACAAAGAACTGAATTCCACCTCCTCGCCCCCTGGCCTTATTATTGGAATGCATTGCGATCGAGATTTTGGGTCCAGATTTTCGTCGGCCGCTCATCTCCGGGAGCAACTGCTCAATATGAAGGCCAGGGAGGTGCCGAAGTGGACCCCCAACTCTTGATGCGCAATGTCTTCCTTCAAGGGTAGGTCGGCTTCGAAGTGGAACCGCCCGTAGCGTCAGCGTCAGAGGGAGAAGGGAGCATGAGAAGGAGAGGAATAATGAGGATGAAGATGTGGAGAAGAGGAGAGAGGAGGAGGAGGAGGAGGAGGAGGAGGAGGAGGAGGAGGAGGAGGAGGAGGAGGAGGAGGAGGAGGAGGAGGAGAGGAGGAGGGGGGAGGGGGAGGGGAGGGGAAAAGAGTAACACGCCAACACCAGGGACAACTTACGACACACACGCACACAGACACAGACACACACACACAGACAGACACGCACACACACAAACACAAACACAAACACAAACACAAGCACAAACACAAGCACAAACACAAAACACACACACACAAACACACACACACACTGCCACGCCAGCACCGCCTGGCATACGCCCGCCACCTCCAGGGAGGGCGTGCGGGTTGGAAAGGGGGGAAAGGGGGGCGAGGGAGGCGGGTCACCGTCGGCACTGGCCGCCGGTAACGCCCAGCGGCCGTGGACCACCTCGGCAGCGCTGACCTCAAGAGCCAAGCCGAGTGAGCCCTCGCTCCCCCTCCCCACATTTTGGACGAAACATAGAAAACAATCAAAAAGTATCTTTTTGTCAAAAAAATAACGGAAACATCGTCCCCAGACTATTTTTGGACTCTCTTCTAATATTCCTCCTGTCGAGGGACACGCCCGACTTAGGCCTCCGGGGCTATTGGGCCCCTCTGAGGGCCCCCCCCCCCCTCCCCCTCCCCCACCCCACTTTCCGCCTCGCCACGCTGCCCGCTGCGCCTGCTTCTGTGGACTCGCAGCGCCGTCCCCCCGTCCCCCGCCACGCGCCCGTCCCCCACCCGCGCCCTTCACCAGAGGAAGAAACAGCAGCGTAGACATAAACTTTTGGCGCTCTGCGCGGACCTCCTGGATCTCCGCTGGGCCCCCCTCCCTAGCGCGCGGAGCGCGCCACGGGCGGCGCCAGAGGCGCCGCCAGGAGGGCCCAACGCGGATCCCAAAAATCCGCGCGGAGCGCCAAACAAAACAAGTATGTCTATGCCGTTTTCTCGTCGTCGATTCACCCTGCTGGGTGGCCGCCGCGTCGAGCCACACCTAACGACCTATCGATGATACTCAGAACGTGTGTTAGCGCCAACGTGTGTTCGTCCATCCAGGCCGCTCAATACGACGCAGGTGATGTAATGATCTCCTGGTGGAGCTGAACGGGGTAAACACACATTGGGCTCACACACGTCCTGGAGGTCATCGAACCCAGGCGCTCGCACACCCACCTCCTGACCTCGGGAAACTTGGGTGGCCGAAGCAGAGCGGCACCGCTCCAGGTGCACGCCTTCCCCTGGGGCCGTAGGCGACCCGAGGAGGATGAGGAGGAGGAGGACGAGGAGGAGGAGGAGGAGGACGAGGACGAGGAGGAGGAGGAGGAGGAGGAGGAGTGAGGAGAAAGAGGAGGATGTGGAGGAGGAGGGGGAGGGGGAAGAGGGGGAGGAGAAAGAGGAGGGAGGAGGAGGAGTAGGGAGGAGGAGGGAGGAGGATGAGGCGGGGGAGGAGGAGGAGGAGGGTGGGTCGCCTGAGCCCTTCGGAGTAACCCTCCGGCTCCAGGTGAGGCGAGCCGAGGTGGGCCTCGGCTCCCCCCCCCCCTGGGGAGCTGGGGCACACGCTCGGGCCCCATCTGCACGCGCACGCCGTGCTCGTGCACGCTCCCCCCGCTGCCCTCCCTCCCCCTCTCGGTCGGGGAGGCGTAAGACCAAGGGCGCCCAGGGACACACACAGACACACACACACACACAAAAAAAAAGACACACACACAAAGAAACACAAATCCCAAGATTCCCCATATTCTCCCATATTGTCTGGACTTTCGTCTTCTCCCCCACTTCCCGCATGTTCCCATATTTTCCGGGGGATCGACGATCATTTGTGTCTGTGTGTTTTCCCCCTCCTGCAAGACTCGGGTACGGGGAACTCGGGTTGGCCTGACGGGGCTGTCATGAAAATGACGAAGACCAATCTGAAGTTTGACGCGAACTCCCGCTGCAAACATCCCACGAAAGCCGGACCGCACTGTCGCTTCGATCATCGAGAGAGCAAGCTGATTACAGGATGGCGAGGACGATGAGGGTGGGGCGCCGTGCATCGGTAAGACTGGAAAGTATACTGGGGCCTTCTCGAAGCGCTAAACTTTATAATGCGAGTGTTAGGGCGAAACTCAAAACATAGGGAGCTCATCGTAAGCCTCAGACATCGGCTGTCGAGACCGATATGCATCGTATGTCCTGGCTTCCAGCAGGGGAAGGTATTTTCAATTTGCCGCTTTGCCCCAATGCCGGGGGAATGTTGGTGGTGGCGGAAATGGAAGCGTGCCGGGTGCTCTCGCGCCTATCGGGATGTGGGGCATCCACTAGATATGTGACCCTACGGCTGGATTGCTAGTTCTCGATACGAGGCATACATTACACAGCTGCCTGTGTGGAACCATAGGCCATGTGACTCAGAGCTCGCTCTTTTCCGCACCACTTGCTGCATCAGCACCGCTTGCTGCAGACTCCTTCAATGTCTCCAAATGCGTCTTCAGCAGCTTTTCCCGCTTCTTCAGCGCCTCTGCTTTGTCGTAATCCTCGGCTTCGACTGCGGCGCCCTTCTGCTCGGTGATAGTGGCGAGCTCCTTCGGCAATACCGCCGCTCAATGTCGGAAGCAGACTTTCCCGCATGGCCCCGTCATCAGGCAATACATGTCATGTGGCATGATCGATCCTGAATCACATGTTGTTACGAGGAGGGGGGGGCATGGGGGGGGCGGAAGACGCGGCTCAACACACTGTCGGCTACCACACGTGCACGCATCATCCTGATCAACTGTCAGCTGTCGGCTTTCCTGTTAAATTGGTGTTGCCCGTGTCTTGGAAGATGTTGCAACTGCCCTCAAAGTCTGGACGCGCAACCCGCGAAGCGACCATCATCTCTTCTCCAGAGACCTCTAGAGTTTCATGCAGGTCCAGGCCTCCGAAACTCAAACAGTGCCAAAACATTGAAACTCCTGGATCCTCGATCCTCCTGCCCGTGCCCATCGTTCCTTCTCGACCTCCTCCACTGTCTCGGGGAGCTTGGGCCCGGGGTCCGCCTTCGCGGAGGCATTCGTGGCGTTCTTCGCCTTCGGCTTCTTCGGTTCCTGCCCACCCTAGTCGTCGTCGCGGCGGGGCGGACTGAAGCAGCTGCGCGGGGACAGCGCCCCTGGGGCCTGCCTGACGAAAGCACATCGGTGTTCGTACCTGTCTGACCGCTGTTCGCTTCGTCTCCCAATCTGTCGGGGTTGGGTTCCGATCATGAAAGCCAAACAGAATATACATGAATTCCCTTTCACATGCTTTAGCCGAGCGGAACCTTACGAAAATCCCCCCCTGAGCAGGACCCCCCCGATCCCTGGTCCTGGGGGCCTGCTGGACGCTCATTGGCAAGTTCACCCGGGACTTCCGGGCCTTTGACGATCCCTCACGACTCGTGCAAACGGCCCACCGGCGGTGCCAAGAGGCCCCCAAGACGGTCCAAGAGGGCCCCGAGACGTCCCATGAGCGTCCCAAGAGGGACGTAGATGGCCGCAAGACGGCCCAAGAAGCCCCCAAGACGCGGCAAGAGGCTTCCAACAGGCCACCACGATGCGTGTGAGGGGTGTGCCGAAATAGGTCGCGCGGGCGCATGTAAACCCTGCCACTGGTGCCTTCGGTGGAGCTCCTTATGGGGCCACGAAACGTGTGAGGGGTGTGTCGAAATGGTTGACTGGTGCGGAGGGCAGAGGCAGGGGTGGGAGGAGGGAGGAGGAGGCGGGAGGGAGGGAAGGAGGGAGGGATGCGGGGCGCAGTCTCTTCAAAACGAGGACCCAACACCACAACATGGTCAAGAACAAAAATGAAACTCACTCTCCCATTCCGGTGGGCGACCCAATTCCTGCGATCCTGGCGAGCAAACTCTCTGTTCAAAATTGCTGGATTCCTGGTTACGGCTAGTTTCCAGGGGCTTCGTGGGTACCAAGCAGACAGTACAAGAGAGTACATGGTAGAGATACGGGGGCAGGGAACAGGGAGTAGAGAGCACAGCGCAGAACGCACGGATGCAGGAAATAGTGAGGGCATCGAGACAAGAGGTAGAGGGTAGAGAGCAGAGGGTATATAACATATTCTAAATGCATAACACACGGGGCAGCGAGTATATAGAGCAGAGCTTGGACAGTGGAGAGACGTATTGCTTAGAGAGTGAAGACCATAGGGTGGAACATAGAGCCGACATGTGGATGGGGGATGGCACTTGGTAGAGAGTAAGGAGAAATAATACCGAGCGAAAATAGAAAGTATGGAGTAAAGAACAGAGATGACCACATTCGTCGTCCTATGTTCTCGCCCACCAGCAACATGCTGCCTTTGCATGTCTCACACGGGCCAATGTTTTGGCATTATCCGCTGTGATATTCCTGTATGGGGGGGTCTGTTTACGCTACTAGGGAGCAGGGATAGCACAGGGGGCCAGCCCAGCAGGGTCAAGCCATGTCGCGATCGCATCTCTGAGGACAGGAGGGTCAAAGAGGCTTCAAGAACGGCCCCAACACAGGGGAGAATTTAGAATTTTCTGTTGTGCGCGGTTTCCTGCTTTGTGCATCGATTCCTTCTCAACGGGGTCCTGGGTGGGGTTGCCCCAGGGGTGGGGAGGGGGCCTGGGATGATTCGGAGGCGGGTGGATGGATGGTCCCAGAGGAACTCACGGGCCAGGTCGGCAGTACCTTCAAGGCCACCCAGGAAACTCTGAGTCATCTTTAGACCTCCTGTGTCAACTCTGGGCTAACTGGAACCAACTTGCGCCACCTGGACTCCCAACCTCGCTTGCTGCAATGCTGCGGTCTTCTGATCCTCAGGCACCTTCTGCACGCTCGTCCTGCTGCGCCCTCGCTACGTTTCCCCTTTGCTTCGTCGTCCCTGCTGCTTGTCGTGCTGCTCCTCACGCTGCTCTCTGCTTCTGTGCCACAACTGATTCGCCTGCTTCCCTGCCGCTACCACTCTCGGGTCGGCAGAACAGGCCGCGGGGCCTCTACAAAAGGTCGGACGCACGACAATTGCGCATTCAAGCGTTACTGGGCAATACCACGGTGCATCTTCAGTCCATGCGAGCTCGAGCCGGGAATCCGACATTTGTAACCATCCACTGGAGCTGCGACGTGAATGTCTACGGAACAAGTGGAGGTTGCGTTGTCTTTCGGACGATAAGGGTGTCTTCAATCCGCCTCATCTTGACACATGCAATGCTACCACGCCTTTCCTTGGGTTTCTTGATCTTCTTGAGCTTGTCCCAGTCCTGTTCGCCGCACTAGCTGAACTAACGTGCAGAGCAACGTCTGGGAACGATTGGCAACATCAACTGCTCGACAAAATCAACTGCTCAAGCAAAGAAACAAACCAAACACATTAAAACGAAAGACAGGTAACGCGGTGGACGTCACACACGACCTTACCGATCTCAACGATGTGCTCAACATCATCCTTTGGCAATTCTTCCGCAACCCCCCTCGGCCGATGCCAACCCGAAGTGCAACAACATTGACGGCACAGGAACATGAAATGCGCATCTGGCCGAGATTAAAGGGTCTACGGACGAATCCGCTCTCAGCACTAGTTATAGAATTTCTGACTTTGGAAACCTGAAAGCGCTCTTGCGAATCAGACTGCTGCCGCTCCGACTTCAAACGATACTTGCCCATACTGAGTGAGGCGATGATCGCCTGAGAAAGGCGCATCGTATGTGCACTTGGCTGAGCTATTGGCTCGTATCCGCCACAATGCCTCAAGTCCTGAGTGGAACGTCCTCAGGGTCATGAGTGTCGCCAATCTTGCAACTAGTGCTCAGAAATGCTCCAGACCCTCACTTTCAAGTCTCTGGGGGCGCTTCCATGCGTTCTTGCAAACACTCGGGGTTCGTCGCGTGGCTTTTGCCGAGGCCTCGGGCACGTGATTCAGAGTCCACACCTCCAACGTGCCCTACGATGGTCCCAAGGCCCCGTCCCAAAACTTGCTTGGGGGCCTCTTCGGTCTTCGACTGTGCTGGGGAAACTCGAGGCCGGCCTAGAGGCCAGAACAGCCCCGCCCTTGAGGCACCCAGGAGGGCCTCAAGATGGGCCACAAAACAGGAACACTCGCAGGAGAGCCACGAATCTGATCCTCTGTCGGATGGCCCCCGAGACCGCCAGCAAGCCCCCCAACGAGGTCCCCAACATGCCCTCTTTGGGGGGCTTGCTGGCTCCAGGAATGGCCCCAGGGGGGCCTCGACCTGCCACCGAGACGCATCAAAGATCCTTCCACGATGCCTCCCAAGCGACCCTCAGAAACACTCGAGGGGCATCTGGTTCACGACCAAAGCTTGGTGGCAAGATGGGCCGAAGGCAACCAGGCCCCAAGAAGCACCAGGAGGCCACCCGGAACCCAACGATACTGGCGGCAACCCAGCGAACACCTAGGATCATCCCGAAACAAGACAGACAACATCATTCATCAGAATGATCGGAAGCGCACGGGGATTTGTCATTAACGCTGAAACCCAGGGAACCATCATAGCCAAGCTGAGCGACGCGAGTTCGAATCAAGGCAAACTCGTCACCTTCCCTCCTCTCAATTATTCCTCCTCGCGTCTCCTCGATGATGGTGACGGAAACGAAACGGCGACGACGACAACCACGGCGATGACAAAAGCGGCGGCGAGATCACGGTAATGCGGAGCCCTGAGGTTTTGCGGAGCCCAGAATACCCAAGAAAACAGCAAACAACATCGCGATACAGAAACCGCACGACCCCGCGAATGTATATAGTTTCACGAAATCTGCTACAACAGCCGAAGACATGGAAGGGCCTGTGCAGCTCACTCTCACGGCCAAAGCCACGTGGAGGGCACAATCCGCTAGAATAATCATTGCGTCTTTGTGGTCGTCCTTCCCCAGCAGACCCCGGACGGCAAACTCTGCCAGACCTAAATGCTTTAAGTACGAATTCAAATAGTTGATGCCACTGTGCGTGTGCTTGAACGACTTTGAACTCAAACTTGTCAGATGCAGCCCATATCGGGCCTCCTCTGCACGTTTCGACACAGCATGACGATACCCTCCACTTTGCCCGTTGGAAAGGGCGTCGGGAAAGCAGTCGGATTTGGCATCGGGTTCCCGAGCGCAGTCGTTTTCGCGCCATGGTACTGTCAAGCGCGCGCTCGGCGTAGTCTCTGAGAGCAAGCAGTTGGTCGTCATTTCCCGGGCGGATGGCAACGGGCTGTCTCCGAGAGCAGGAGGATCCCGAGACACCCCCCAAAACTTTCCCCCAGAGGCCCCCGAGAGCGCCCCAAAGAGACTTCAAAAAGCATCTGAGCCCTCCTCCTGAAGCGCGCCAGCCAAAGCAAACAGCCAAAAGCGAAATTAAGCAAAGTCGTAGCTGAACCGATGGGAAGCCTCTGCCGTAGGATCCCTTCCCCGCCGGGGGGGGTCCTTGAAGGGGTAGGGTTATGTCGGGCATGTCCCCCTACAGGCGGTATTGGGACGAAAAATACAAGCACAATCGAGAAGTACCAAAAAATGGTGACACATCACAAAAAATCGTCCCCAGTTGTTTCTAACTATTCTGGAATGCTCCTCCTGTAGAGGGACAGGCCCGACTGAAGGGTAGGGCTAGGGGAGTCCCCGGGGGCCCCCGGTCACCATACCACTCACCCCTCGGGGCACCAGGGCCCAAGAGGCCACCCCCGAGGCCGCGCGAGGACACCGGGCGCCCCCGGGGAACCGCCAGGGAGCCCAGGCTCCCAAAAGGAAACCCAGGACACCCCCAGGACTTCGTGACTTCGTGGGGGTCCCCGAGCACCTCTTGGAGGCCTCGTGCAACTTCTTGGGCGCTCGTGGGAGCGTCTGATCCCGACCGGACCTTCCCGAATGCCTCTTCCCCCCGTGGGGGTCGGCGGCACCAGCCCGAAGGCCGTAGCAACAGTGGACCGTACGCGGGCGCCCCGCGATCATGTTGCACTGTTCTGTGACAGGGATGGTGGGGTTGCCCTGGCAAGCATGGCGCACCTCGCGGGCGTCGCGCACTTGGCTGGCGTCCACATCGATTTCCGATGGTTGTCGACGGCGGCTCCTGCCCATGCTGATATCCCGATGCTACTTACACGTTGGGAGGGCGGGTGGGAGTGAGCAAGACGGCTTGCGGCTTGAAGGTGGCTTGACCCCTTCCCCTCTCCCTCCCCTGGACTTGGACGGGGGCGGCGCTGACCGATTGGAGCATTCAAAAAAGAAAGCATCGGCTGGAATGCAACAATCATTGGTTTTGGTTCTATGTTTCTATGTTGGCCTTCTGGGGGGAAACCCTAGCTAAGTATAAACTGCTTATTTGGTCGAACTGCAGATGGCCCCCAGATGGCCCCCAAGTTCGCCCCAAGAAGGCTCCAAGAGGCGCCCAGGAGGCCCAAAGGAGTTCGCAAGAGGCTCCCAAAAGATCCCAAGGAGGCCATCCACTGCTCCCCCGAGGAGGAGGAGGAGGAGGAGGAGGAGGAGGAGGAGGAGGAGGAGGAGGAGGAGGAGGAGGAGGGGGATGAGGAGGAGGAGGAGGAGGAAGAGGAGGAAGAGGAGGAAAGGGAGGGGGAGGAAGAGGAGGAGGAGGCTCCTGGGACCGCGACAAGATCGCCCCTGGCTCGCCGAAGGATCGTTCAAAGACGCCCAAGAAAGCCTCCACACTGCTCAAGGATGCCCCCAAGACATCCCCAGAGGGCTCCACGAGGCCCCCCAGGAGGGCGCCGAGGGCCCAAATCCCGCCAGCCCACTGGGCGTGCGTCGTTCAACGGGTGGTGTTCTTTTCTCTTCCAAAATCCCTCGTTCCCCTGCTCGGGGAAGTGGTTTACCACTGTTCCCTATTAAATATACACACCCTACCCCAAGCGACCAGCAGCCAAAAATCCGCCGACCCTGTCGGCGTGTGGAATGGGCTGTTCTTCTCGTCCGTGCCTCCTTCCCTTTCAGACCTTCTCCGTCTCCTTCTCGTTCGTCTCCTCCTCCTTCTCCTCCTCCTCCTCCTCCTCCTCCTTCATTCCTCCTGCGTAAAGTAAATTGACTCGAAGGGTTTCCCCTTCCCTTTGTTCCCATCCCCGGCCGGGGGGGGGGAGGGGGGGTCCCGGGGGAAGCCCGGGGGGGGTCCTGGGGGGGGTCCCGGGGGCGGTCCTGGGGGAGGGCCCAGGGGGGGTGCTGGGGGGGGTCAGAATACCACCTCCCTCCTCCTCCTACTCCTCCTGAGCGTCTTTTGCCACCTTCTCCATCGCCTTTTCGTTTGTCTCCTCCTCCTCCTCTTCCTCTCCTCCTCCTCCTCCTCCTCCTCCTCCTCCTCCTCCTCTCCTCCTCCTCCTCCTCCTCCTCCTCCTCCTCCTCCTCCTCCTCCTCTCCTCCTCCTCCTCCTCCTCCGCCTCCTCCTCCTCCTCCTCCTCCTCCTCCTCCTCCTCCTCCTCACACACTTTCTCCGCCTACCCTGTCACGTTGTCCTTTAGCTCCTTCCTGTGATCACACATCCCGTCGCCATCGACGGCCAAAACCTTCAGGGTCGGCGGCACCGGCCGTAAGGCCTTCACAATATACACACCCTCCCCAAGCGACCAGCAGCCAACCAGGAACCATGCTCACCCCTCCCGCCATCCCTGTCAAAAACAATACAAAACGCATTATGTCTCCACATTCGGAGCATGCGCAACCAACCCGATGCGGCCCCCCCCACCATCCCTGTCAAAAATTATCCCGGCAAAGCAACCTAACAGCGATGTGTAGGAGCATACCTGGAAGCATTCCCCTTGAGATTCAGATGAGAATCCAGTTGTAGAATTCTGCTGTTCTCGCAGTCGTAGTCGCATTCGCGATGACAGTCGCAGTGGCAACGGCAGTCGCAGTCACAGCCTCAGCCTCAGCCTGCCTCAGCCTCAGCCTCAGCCTGCCTCAGCCTCAGCCTGCCTCAGCCTCAGCCTCAGCCTGCTTCAGCCTCAGCCTCAGTCTGCCTTCAGCCTCGGCCTCAGCCTCAGCCTGCCTCAGCCTCAGCCTGCATCAGCCTCAGCCTCAGCCTCAGCCTGCCTCAGCATCAGCCTGCCTCAGCCTCAGCCTCAGCCTGCCTCAGCCTCAGCCTCAGCCTGCTTCAGCCTCAGCCTCAGTCTGCCTTCAGCCTCGGCCTCAGCCTCAGCCTGCCTCAGCCTCAGCCTGCATCAGCCTCAGCCTCAGCCTCAGCCTGCCTCAGCATCAGCCTGCTCAGCCTCAGCCTCAGCCTGCCTCAGCCTCAGCCTCAGCTGCTTCAGCCTCAGCC